ATATATGTAATACATTTATATATGCACATTACATACATATTGTACATTAGTCTGTCTCTATTGCTTATAACAAAATACCTGAAACTGAGTAATTTACTTCTTACAGTTTTGGAAGCTAGGAAATCCATAGTCCAGGGAACACATCTGGTGAGGGCCTTGTTCTTGGTGGTGAATCTACAGCTACACAGGGTATCACATGTCGAGAATGGCAGGAACAAGAGAGAGCTAACCTCCTTACCTGCTCTCTCTTTTTTTTTTCCTTTTTGTCTTTTTTCGTGACCGGTAACGGGACCGCAACCCTCAGTGTCGTGCCCATACCGCAACCGGCAACGGGTTCACAACCCTCGGTGTCACGCCCGCACCGCACTCAACCAGTGAGCGGACTGGTCTCTATATCGTGCCCATACCGCAACCGGCAACGGGTTCACAACCCTCGGTGTCACGCCCGCACCGCGCTCAACCAGTGAGCGGACTGGTCTCTATATGGGATCCAGACCCTCGGCGGGAGGGCTGCCATGCTCCCAAGTGCCGCACTCTAGCGAGTGTGCCACCGGGCCGGCCCCCTGCTCTCTTTTTAAAGCCATCAGAACAAGGGCCCAGTCCTCACAATCTAATCACCTCTTAAAGGCCCCATCTTAATAATTACCATAATTGGATTTCACACCCTCTTAACACCTTTACAGTGTGATCAAGCTTCCATGAGTTCTGGGGTGACATTCAATCCACAGCAATTAAGCATAATTGTGTGTATAAAAACATCTCAGAAGAACATACACCAACCTGATATGGTAGTTTCCTCTGGGGAGGGAATTAAGATTGGGTGGGCCTGATGGGGACTCTTATGTTACTAATATTGTTTGAAAAAATTTTTTACATCAAGCTTTGTATTTAAATATTTTGCCATACGTATATTTAAAAAATGTTTAAAAAGTATTGCCTAAGCACACATAGCTCTTCCATGACAGAGCTATGATTAAAGCTTGAACCTGCAGTTGGCAAAGACTCAGCTTATTCCATTGTTTCCTGTTCACACTGCCTCTCTGAGTTTGCCTTTCTCCCAACAGTCCCTACCCACCACCCTCATTATTGCATATCTCTCACCTTTTCCTTATCACCAAATGTCCTGAAACATCACACTCACCTGTCCTTCTTCACACCCTATTAATCTCTAGTCCTCTGTTCTGCCCTCACCATATTGCTGAGACTGCTAATAAAAGCCCTATCCTCTGGTTGAGGTTGCTTAACTACTGGAAGAACTCTGAGTGCTGAGACAGCTAAATGCACAGGGCCTACCCTGCCCACGCCTCTGCCTCTCGTTAATGACAATACAAGTGCCACTACAGCAGCTCTGATGCTCCATGGAGTCCATTCCAGACAGAGATCTCAGACAGAATATTTCATGTCTGTAAAATGACTCTCCAGAAAGAGGCAAGTATGGCTTTCCTTGAAGACTGAGGATCAAAGAAATTCATGTATGTGAGAGTCCATTATAATGTGGACGGCACTACAAAACTGTTGGCTGTCATAATCTTTTTAAAGCCTAAAAAAAATTGTTTTAAAGTGGCAGTACATGCACAAAGGAAAAACATCCAAATAGCACTGAAGAGAATGCAGTAAAAAGCCAGCCTCCCTCCCATCTATGATTGACTCTCTCCTCCACAGAGGCAACCATTTTTTTTTTTTTTTTTTCCAAAAAGATGACCGGGTAAGGGGATCTTAACCCTTGACTTGGTGTTGTCAGCACCACGCTCACCCAGTGAGCAAACCGGCCATCCCTATATGGGATCCGAACCCGTGGCCTTGGTGTTATCAGCACCGCACTCTCCCGAGTGAGCCACGGGCCGGCCCCCGAGGCAACCATTTTTTAGATTATTTTCTTGACCCCCGTTTTTTTAGAGTGAAAACAAGAACCATCACAAAAGACTCTGCAAAACCCACAACCTAGCACAAAGATCGTCACAACCTTACACACACAAAAAAGACTTCTGCAAGGACATATGCCCAACAACTACCTGCCCAACCTTGGACTGGCACCACCCTTATTGATAATTATCCCAAAACAATTACATAACATAATTTTTCCTTTAAAAACCTTTGTCTAGGGCCAGGCTGTGGCTCACTTGGGAGAGCATGTTGCTGACAACACCAAGTCAAGGGTTAAGATCCCCTTACTGGTCATCTTTTAAAAAAACAAAACAAAAAAATCTTTGTCTTCCTTTACCTCCCTGAATACACACGTAGTTTACTATGCCACGTGTATTCCTATTCCAACGTCTATTCCTGAGATAGCCAGTAGTTAGAAAGAAAAAACACAAATAAATACGTAATTACAAACTGTGAAAGGTTCTATGAAGGAAAATACTGGGGGCTGTAGGAATTTATAAAAGGGGCCCTGAGCTAGTTCAGAAAGTTTCCTTGAGAAATGACACTTGACATTAACTGAGCACTCACCATATACCAGTGTTATTAGTTCGCTAGAGCTGCCATAACAGAGTACCACAGACTAGGTGGCTTAAACAACCGAAATTTATTTTTTCAAAATTCTGGAGGCTAGAAGTTCAAGATCCAGTTGTCAGCACCTTGAAGTTTCTCTCCTTGGCTTGTAAATGACCATCTTCTCCCTTTGTTTTCACATGGTTTTCCCTCTGTACCTGACTGTGTCTGTATTTCCTCTTCTTATAGCATTTTGGATTAGGGCCCACCCTAATAACCTCATTTTAACTTAATTACCTCTTTAAAGATCCTATTTCCAAATGCAGTCACATTCTGAAGTACTGGGGGTTAGGATTTCAACACAGGAATTTTTGAGGGCTGGCCAGTTAGCTCAGTTGGTTAGAGTGCAGTCTTATAACACACGAAGGTCACAGGTTCAGATCCCTATACCAGCCAGCCACCAAAAAAAAAAGCCCACCAATTTTCGGCGGGAAGGGCACATAACTATGCCCGTAACAGCCAGGTTACTAATCTGTGCTCATTACGTACATTATTTTACCCCAACTCTACCACTGCTAATTTTATAGATGATAAAACTGAGGTACACAGAGGTACACAGCACTTAGGCAAGTGCTCAGACATCAATAGAGCTGGGGCTTGAAACCATAAAATTACCCACCAAAGGCTTATGGAGTGCTAAAGAATGAGTTGGAGGCCCAGCAAATGGATTAGGCAAAGGAAAGTATATGGAAGGGCCCTAGAGTGGAAGAGAGCTTGGCATACTTAAGGAAATGAAAGAGCCAAGTTGATAATGTTAAACACGTGGGCCACAGCAAATCATGACAGTCCTTACAGGTCCCGGTTAGGGTTAGGATTTTAGTCTTTATCCCAAGAACAATGGGAAACCACTGAAGGATCACTCTACCTGCTGAATATTGAACCACCTGAAGAAAATTCAGAGATCTTAGCTTTACTTTTCTACAGATGAGGAACCTGAGACTTGTAACTTTTTTCAATATATTACACCCTGGCTAAGCCTCCATATAACTCACAAATCTTGAAGGTAAAATATTTGCAAAGTTGGCCTCCTGCAAGCGTGAACTAATTAAAATAAGTGGGCATGTATTTGAACGGTAAGTACGGCCTAGGCATACTGTGAGCCATGCTGAGCTCCCCAGAGGGAACAGGAAAGTTGAGAATTTTTTTTTTTTTTTTTTTTTTTTTAAATGACCGGTAAGGGGATCTTAACCCTTGACTTGGTGTTGTCAGCACCACGCTCAGCCAGTGAGCGAACCGGCCATCCCTATGTGGGATCCGAACCCGGGGCCTTGGTGTTATTAGCACCGCACTCTACCGAGTGAGCCACGGGCCGGCCCAAAAGTTGAGAATTTCAATTCGGCCCTAGGACGAAGGCTTAATCTTGGTCTATTGCTTGGTCAGCCTGAAGTGGAGAAATTCCAATTCAGCATTAAAACGTCAATTGAAACAGTAAACACAGCAGCTTTGCCTAATATTTTTAAAGTTTATTAACATATAATTTACATACTGTAAAGTTCACCGCTTTTACGTGTACAATGATTTTCAGTAAATGTACAGTGAAACCATTCCCGCAATCCAGTTTGGGGACATTTCCATCACACCGAAGAAGTCCCTGGCCCAGTCTCACCCCAGATCCAGGTGTGCCTAATTGTTTTAAGTGTGCTCTACCAGGTCGAAATGACCTTACAGACCCAAGATAACTCTAAAAAGGAAGCCAGGACTAGGCTTGCAAAAAATATGAACAAGGGCCACATATGTTCATCAGTGCATCGAAGTATGTCAAGGCGGGATTTGTATGTGAGGAATTCATTCATCCCCTGAGCAGAAACACTGGTTGGCTGCGCTACGTGGAGCATATTACGCAAACGGAGCAAAAGCAGTAAGCGCGTGCCTCTATACCCGACCTGCGAGCATCTGTGCGGGAGGTGAGCGCACTACCAATGCCAGGACGTGAGATTAATGTGTATTAGAGACAGAGGACCAGTCGGTGACGTGTGCGCCTGCGCAGCTTCGCGAACGCCTAGGAACCGGTTCCTGGTTACCGAAATCCCCCGCTCGAGATTTGTCGTTTCAGCTGTGGGGGCGCCGCCGGTTCGGACCTGAGCGCCCATCCGTGATACCCAGAGAACCTAGGCCTGGCAAGTAACATCTCTCCCCCAGACTGTCCCTCGCTCCCCCTACCCAGAGCTCACAAGGAGCACCAAGATTACTGAGCAGACCGCCAGGGAAGCCGCGGTCCCTTAGCCACACCCCGCAGTTTACCAGCCCGCTTCTCCTTGGTCGGTAAAGGGTTTAGTCCCTCCCCTTCGAGTCGACGCCAGCAGCCACGTATCACGTTTCTACGTGTCTCGAGCCAAAAGCGGAAGTTACGCAAAGATTCGCGAACGCAGTGGCGGCCCTGAGAGGATATAGGCCGCTGGAGGGAAGGGGGCGGGCCGACGGCATTGGAAGGCGCCGGAAGTGGTCGCGCTGAGGAGGGGTGGGAGTAGGGTTGCTGAGGCAGTTCGCTTGGCGGTGACTGGGCGCCTCGGTAAGGCGCCCTTTCGCTGCTTTCCGAGTGCCTGCTCAAACATGGACTTCAGGGAAATTCTCCTGATAGCCTCCAAAGGACAAGGTGTCAACAATGTGCCGGTACGTAACAGCTGGGGCGTCCCTGTGGGAGACCCCAATTTTCAAGTTCGGAATGTTTGGCCCGTGGAACTTCTAGGAAGCTGCCTATCGACTACTGGAGAGTAAGGATCTGGCCGCCGTATTTACTTTCCTTGGGTTTGTACTCCTGGGAACTCGGGGTGAAGGAGAGGCTTGGGACGTGAGGCGGGAGCTTTCCTGTGAGTGGGGTTCGCTGGCTTACTTAACTCTGCAAAATGGACTTTGCAGTTTGGGTGTCTTAGGTAGAGTTGCGTGAAAGCAGGTTGAGTGAGCCCTGCGTGGCACTTAGGGGAATCTAACGCTAGTAGTTTCTGGCTTCGGCATAAACTTAAACCCAAAGATTGGGGAGGAAGCGTATATGAGGGTGCTTCAAAAAGTTAATGTAAAGATTCATATCATCTTATAATTCTATTTTTCCGCGAAACTTTTGAAGTACCTTGTATGTAGGGGAGCTCGGGGATTTTAGAGACTTGGCCTGATAGCGTTTTGACTAGTTTCTTGCTGATCTTCGGATCAAAAGTTTGTGATTTCTTGAATGAGTTCTCTAACTCTTGGCTCCACCCACTTGGCAAACGAGGTGATTAAATTACCACCTCTCTGTGGGGGAGTATCACCTTTTGTATTGCAAGTTGAGCCGATTCCACGAAATCCTTGGCCAACTGAATGGATGAGCTAGTTTCAGTTTCCGTTTACTTGTTGGCCTTACAGATTTCAGTCTTTGAAGTCTAGGTCCCATTCGCTCAATTCACTTATATTTGCAGAGCGGTGTAAGACTTAAAATCTAAATGCTGAAGTGTTGGAGAGTGCCTAGTTTGCGTTGTTTTAGCTGTTTTGCATAAACTAGTCATCTCTGGATCCTCAGATGGTACCCACAGCACAGCTGTAAACCGATAAATTGCTTTGTGATACCTGCGGTTTGAGCAGTGAGGTGTAGAACTCAGACATCTCTGAAGTCAATTCAACTGGAATTTATTGAGTTCTCACTATGTATTCTGCATTTCCTAAATTTTAGTATATTGCAATATTAATTTTTTTCTCCTCCCGCTTTTCTTGTCTTCTAAGGTTGGCTTATTCTTTTGAAAATATTGATCTGAAAACATTTTTAAAATATTGACCTGAAGATAACTAGTAAAAAGGTCTACATCCATCAGTATGTATATACTCGTGTGTATATATCTATATCCTGAATATATCTACAGTCATCCCCCATCCCAGGTACTCTGAGTAATCATTCCCCTAAGCCATGAGTCATAAGCCCTGCGTATTGAAGTTAATGGACTCCAACATTTGAAACCTTGAACAACAGAATTACTTTCTGCATCTGTACATTACCTGGACAAGTCAATATTGGTTGTGGTAACCACTCGTCTTTGTATAATTTGGTCCATATTTTATTCTCGATCTTCCTGAATTTCAGAAGAGGTCAAAGATAGATAATACAATACTAGCTTTGATGTTCAGGAATATTCTATGGAAGAATCAGAACCAAGTTAGTCATTTCTTATTCTAAAACCCAGTAGCTGCTGGGAGAGAAGCAGACTAATAATCCTAGAGCAGAAAATTTCAAAATATGTGTATATTTCATAATATATTATCTGTCTATGATTGGAATAACAGAAAAGAAACAAAAAGAAAAAAAGAAAATTGGTGATATAATTTAAATTTTAATAGGTGAATAACAGGCATATATTTTATGAATCATGCTTTTCTCTGACAGCCTCCCTCCCCGCCCACCCCCCAGCAAAGCTAGTAAGCCTGAAAGTTTGATTTAGTTGGCACTATTATAATCCTTTTTACCTGGAATGAAATTCACAAAAGAAGCTATTGAGAAATAGAAAAAGACTAGTTAAATTTAGTCCATGATCTTGCTTTAACTTGATTCGTCTAACCTATTCAGTCTCATTTTCTTTATCAGCTCAAAGTAATTTGGATGCTTGCAAACATATACAAAATGTTAACATATCCCCATATGCCCACACTCCATATTTAACATGTATTAATATTTTGCCATATCCATTTCATATATTTTAAAAGAAATAAAGCCTAATTGATACAATTGAAGTCTCCCAACTCCCTAATTTCTTTTCTTTAAAATTGTGAAATACATGTAACAGACTTATTGTACAGTGTAACATATTAGTACAAAGCAAGTATCCTTGTAAACTACCATCCAAGTCAAAAAACAACATTTCAAGACAGACACACCCACACTCACACCCTGCCATACATACTCCCTGCTTGACATAAACTTGATTGATGGTCTGAGAGGCATGAGGCTTTGTAGTAACTGACAGTTAGGCTACATCCCTCTCTTGTGTTTGGTTCATTTTTCCCTTTTGGTTATCTTCACCCCTCACCTTACATTTGAATCCTATCAGAGCTGACACTCTGATTTTAAGTCTTCAGAGTTCTTAGGTCAAGGCTTTACTACAGAAGGGAGATCCAGTCACTAGCAGTCATTAGATTAAAATCCAAAACACCTGTACAGCCACTTCAGACTCTTTGCACAGCTTTATTTTAAAGAGATGTCTGTTGGGCCAGCCCGTGGCTCACTCGAGAGAGTGTGGTGCTGATAACGCCAAGGCCATGGGTTCAGATCCCATATAGGGATGGCCGGTTACCTCACTGGGTGAGTGTGGTGCTGACAACACCAAGTCAAGGGTTAAGATCCCCTTACCGGTCATCTTTTTTTTTTTTAAAGAGGTTTCTGTTGTATCTGGCTTGAGAAGCTGTGAATATTTCCTTAATCATTCTTTTCCTTTGTTTCTTTTTAAGAAAAATAGTTTTTATAATATTTTAGTCAGTTAAAAGAAAGACAGGATTGCATCATGCCTAGAAATATCACACTAGACATTTCCCAGTGGAAAACTGAATACAAAATAACAGCTGATTAAGGTGATGTAACCAGTCATTGTCACTGGCTCTGTTTATATTTAAAGCAGAAAAGTTATTTTTGATAAACTTGCACTTGTTTTTTTTCCCTCTGGGTTCCAATAGCAAAAACAAAGTAGTGGTCTTGTTTTGATACAGTAGTAGAGCTAGAATATGGATTCTTGTAAGTTTCACATAGTTATAATTGATGGCTTATAATGCATGAGACAAGTTATATGGATTTTCTCACAGACTAGGAAAGTCATCCCAGACAAGATACTGAAGCTCTGTATGACCCCCTCCCCACTCCCCACCAAATGGAAAGGTAATGGGCAAGCCTTTATGTGGTACCAGATATATAAGGATGTTGGTCTATAGACCCTCGAAGATAGGAACCATAGGTACTGAAAATGCAGCCCAGGGACTTTAACTAGGATGGCAAATTCAGATCTATTCAGGGGTCAGGTAGATAATGTAAATTCTTGAAGTAGTCTGAATATAAAATGACAGATGCTAAGCTCCATGCATTCAAAAAAAGCCTACGATTTGTATAGTAGTTATATTTCCTTTTAAAGAACACTATGGGCCAACAAAGTTTCTGCAGGAAACTTTTTTCTGCAGGTAACATTTGATCTATCATGGATTATATAACTGGATTGCTCCACACTCTTGGATCTGGAGATGAATTGTCCAGTGCCTGGGGCAGCTTTGGATCTCTAGAGCAGTACTTCTCAACCAGTGTTTTAGGGAGAAGGTCTTTTACAAACTACTGCCCACCTTATCCCCACAGAGATTCAGTTATTTTTCTTCCCCATCACCACCTAGAGAATCTCTAAATAATAATGATAATAATAATTAACATTTATAGTGCTTGCTCTGTGCTAGGCCCTGTCCCAAGGACTTTATAAATTAATTAACTAAATTTAATCACCATAATAACCCTATGTATTAGTCCATTTCTGTTGCTTATAACAAAATACATGGAACTGGATAATTTATAAGAAAATGAAACAATGCTTACAGTTTCACAGGCTGGGAAGTCCAAAATCCAGGGAACACATCTGGTGAGGGTCTTCTTTGGTGGTGGCTTTACAGCAATGAAGGAATCTCACATGGCAGAAAGTGGTGGAGCAGGGAGAGAGATTCTCACATGCTCTCCTTTTAATGCCCTCAGAACCATGCCCCTGACCACCATTATTAATCCAGTCACTACAGCATTGTCCTATAATCTAATCACCTCTTCAAGGCCCCACCTTTCAATTATCGTAATAGGATTTCCCACCCTTAACAGTTACAGTGAGAATTAAGCTTTTAATAATAAAGGGACTTTGGGGGACACAATTCAATCAGTCCACAGCACCCTATAAGGAATGTTATTTTACAGATGAGGAAACTGAGGACCAGAGGTGAAGAAACTTGCCCAAGGTTACACAGCTAATAAATGATAGGGCTAGTAATGGCAGAGGAGAGAATCTAATCCAGATAGACTGTCTCCAGAGTTCTTGCTATTAGTCCTGACCTGTGTAGAACGAGGGGAGAGTATTTAAGATGGGGTGATGAGGAAGACTGTTACATATACAGCCTGAACTCATCCAGCTCCCTATCCCCAACTCCAGCCTAATATCTTTAGGCAGTAACCCTATTGGTTTTCTGATGACATGCTCATGAGAAAAATATAAAAACCAAACCAACAGCATTGGGAAACTGGTAGATAGAGGGATATTTTAGCCTGTTTATGAGAGTGCCAGCATAGTTTATAGAAGTAGAGTCTGAGAGTGAGGGAGGATAAGGTAGGAAGTTCAGTTGCAGACCTGTTTGAGGTAATGTATTTTCCAACAGGCACGTGGAAATTAGGGAATGTCACTTATGATTGAGGTTAGAGCTAGCTATGAAAGTGTTGCAGTTTAAATTTGAAATGAGGCATATTGTAATGAGAACAATTGGGGACCTAAGTCAGGAAACCTGGATTCTAATTCAGACTCTGCTGCAAACAGTTGATTGCCAGTAAATACACAGCTTTCCTTTCTGGGCCTTTTCTAACATAGAAGTTGGGCTAGAGATACTCTGAAGTTCCCATCTGATATTATTACATTTTATAATAAAGTATGTTTTTATAAACACAGTAAAAATAGAACTTACATTTAACCTCATAATGTGAGTAGCATGCTTTTTGGGTGGTTTATTAAATTTTCACTCTCTTAGCCATCCAGCTAAGTAAGCCTAATGCAAACCAGTGTTTTTCCAGGCCAGCATTCATTCCATGACTGTGATGTTTTGAGAAGATTTTAAAAATTGTGTGGTTAAGGATGTACTCTTTGAATATTCCTAATTCCTAATTCTAACCAATAGTAAATCTCTAATTTATGTAAAACCATCAGAAAATTTATATTTTCTAGTTACAGCACTATATTATCTCCTGTGTAAAGAACAGCTTTCAAGGAGGGATTGACTATTGATACTGATTTCAATATAACATACTCTTATTTGGTGAACGCATATTTCCAGACTGAAAGCTCCTTATTAATCTGATCTTGACAGTGTATTGTAGTTTCAATGCAAGGAACACACGTGTTTTAAAGTGGCTTAATATTTTTTAGGTCTGTTGCCTTCAAACTTGCAAATCTTAGCAAAATCTCATGCTATATTTAAATGGTACACGCATCGCTGTTGTGGATCATTCATTGGGGTCTAGCAGAATGACTGAGTTGGCTTGCAGTGTAATAAAATGGGTATGCTTAGAATAAAAGAAACTCTTGTCCAGCTGCTTTTCATGAAGCTCAAACAATGAAGCAGCCTAGTGCTTTGAATCGGATTTAGAATTGATGAGTGCATCTTGATATGCTGCTGCTACAGCTAAATATGACCATCTGACATAAGAGAAAGTACCAAATAGTTCTTCTACTTATTAAATATAATGTAATCCCAGACTACGGCTTTTCATTTTCTTTTTCTTTTTTAACATGATTCTTTACTGGGCTATCCCTGTAAGGTTGGGGAGCTGTGTTATAAAATATTCCATTACAACATGTCTTTTGATACTAGAGTCCAGGGCTGGCTGGTTAGCCCAGTTGGTTAGAGCACAGTGTTACAACACCAAAGTCAAGGGATCCAATTCCTGTACCAGCCAGCCACCAAAAAAAACCACAAAAACCCAGGGTCTGATTGCACCTCCGTTTTGAAAAATCTAGCCAGCTCAGTGTTAAGAAGATCTATGATCATATACCCAAAACGTATATCCACGTAAAAACTTGTACACGAATGTTCACAGCAGCATTATTCATCATAGTCAAAAAGTAGAGACAAGCCAAGGGTCCAACTGATGAAAGGAGAAACCTCAGCGGGGAAGGAGTTAATGCTGTAGTCTTGAAGTAGAATTCCTTCTTATCTGAGAAACTTCAGTTTTTGCTCTAAAGGTCTTCAATTGGATGGGACCCACCCGTATTATGGAAGGTAATCTTCTTTACCTAAAGTCAACTGATTGTAGATGTTAATCACACGTACAAAATAACTTCACAGCAACACCAAGATTAGTGTTTGTATAAATAACTGGGTATTATAGCCTAGCCAAGTTGACACATAAAATTAACCATCATAATCACATACTGTATGATTTCATTTATATGAAATGTCCAGAATGGGTCCGTAGAGAAAAAAAATAGATTAGTGGTTGCCAGGGACTGAAGAAAAGGGGAATGGGGAGTAACTGCTAAAGGGTAAGGGATTTCTTTTTGGAATGATGGAAATGTTCTGGAATCAGATGGGTGGTAATGGTTGCACAACTCTGTGAATATACTAAAAACCGTTTAATTGTGCACATAAAATGGATGGATTGATTTTATGGTATGTGAATTATATCTCAAAGATTTTTTTATTTTATTTTATTTTATTTTATTTTTTATTTTTATTTTTTTTAAAAGATGACCGGTAAGGGGATCTCAACCCTTGGCTTGGTGTTGTCAGCACCACGCTCAGCCAGTGAGCAAACCAGCCATCCCTATATAGGATCCGAACCCGCGGCCTTGGTGTTATCAGCACCGCACTCTACCGAGTGAGCCACGGGCCGGCCCAAAGATTTTTTTTTTTAAAAAAAGACCATCTATGGTGACCCAGCCCATTTTTTGCCCTAGATTTCTAGGTTGTGACCTCAACTTTGCTTAAGAAAATGTTGTGTATTTGCTAAGTATTTGTGCCTTTGAGCACATTTTCAAGCTACAGAGGCTAAAAGAAACTATTAATTATGACTCAGTTCATGTAAACAAGATTAAGTCAGTAAACAAGATTGAGCCTCATCACAGCAGTGCTAACCTTGACCTACTGCTTGTTTTTTAAATTGTTTCCTAGCAGATCCATGACATACACATTATATAGATGTATTACATTTCTCCTGCATCATAGGAGCAAGACAACACGTACTACAAAGTCATTGGGTTAAATGTGACCTAGCTTAAGTATCCTCAAGGATTAAAGGTGTTAAAAAAAAAAAAAAAAGTTGAAATTGTCATATGAATTGATGGGAATAGGTGTATACTTTGAAAAAAGCTAAAAGTAGCTTTTGTAATTCTTTTCAGACCAAATTTGAGTTCCTGAACATATCCTTCCTTGTTTTTCTGCCTTTCTTGTATTTTTGTTCCTTAAGTCTGTATTTCTTAAAGTGCAGTACATATAGTCCTGGCTGTACCATAATTTTAGGTGATATACAAGTTTTTCTTTTAATAGTTATATATTTTGATAGAAATTGGAAAAATATAAATAGCTTTTCAAGCCAGTCATTGCTGAGATAAAGCTATAATAATAGGTTATGTTGTTAAGTCGACATTTTTTTTTTAATGAGTAAGTGATAGCACAGGTGATATACTAAAAAGGCAAAAATCATAACTGTACGAATGCAAATGACTTAAGTTTGGTAAACACTGCATTAAACCATGCCCCATAGACACTGTTGTTTTCCCTTTTGGGTACCAGTATTCATTAAAGGGAAGTTTTTCTGTTAGTCATATCCCATTTTCTGTCTTGTTAAGTCCTAGGTTAGGATAAAAGCTGTCTATCCAGAAATCATGTTAGATAGTGCTCAGTGCTGTGTTATCTAGACAGTGAACCAGTCCTGATTTAAATAAGTAACATTGGCTGGCCGGTTAATTCAGTTGGCTAGAGCATGGCACTGATAACACCAAGGTCCAGGGTTCGATCCCTGTATCGGTCAGCCGCCAAAAAGTAACACTAACGTGTATATCTGCATTTTTCTTAGGGGAAACCCTGTGTAAGCTTTGATTTGGCAGGTGAGTCTATGAGCTATATATAGTTGGCAGGGGCAGGAATATCTTATGTCTCGGTGACAGAAATCCAACTTTCCTCTTCTTCAAATCTACCTGATGGGATGGAGTGGAGTGAGTGTATGCCTCTGCTTATGAGTCAAAAAAAAAATTTTTTTTTTGGGGGGGGGGGTTGTTTTTTTGGTGGTTGGCCAATACAGAGAGTCTTTGCATGTCTTAACTTGAATCATATTTATGGTGAGATGAAAATGTGAGCTTCTTGTTGATAAGCCTGTGTTTGAGGTTGTTTTCTTATATACTAAGGCAATTTTATACATCCTAGTTGGGTTAGCAATATTACTTCTCTTTCTCTTCAGTCTTCCTTTATCTTTCTTTTTTTCTCTTTTAAATTGTGGGCCCCTATCCACTATGGAAAGAGTCTATAATTAAACTTACAAAGATTTCATTGTGACCTAGCCAAGGTGATTGGGAAAGAAATCTGTATGCTGTCTTGATTTCTGTCTGTTGGGATGTGTCAGTTCTTAGCATTGCTATCATGCAGGATTTTCAGGTTGGATTAGGGCCTGCTTCCTTGGCCAGCTGCTTTGTTGGTAGACTAATTTAGTTGGAACTTCCAGCCTGTTTCAACATACTTTATTTGGCAACTTCGTAGTAAGTACAGATCCTTTGGCTTTCCTCCAGGAACTTCATACACATTTTGAGAATACATTTTTGGTTCCTAAGTTGCTCACTTTGTTCTCAGAAGTTAGTGTTTCTTTTTCTACTAGCCACAGGAAAAGGTTCAGAAGATAAGAATAGCATCTGCCTAACAAGACAAAAGGAGGAGGATACTTCAAAAATCTTATTTCCTGGCCCATAAATTTGATAGGGAATAGTCCTAGAGATGAATCATCTCTGGTCTGAATGATTAGCTCTGTGTTTGTCATACTTCTCTAATAAAAAATATTTATAAAATGGAAATATTTTTCCTTTTGTATTTCAAATTAACATTATTCTAGTTTTAGTCATTTCCCAATGTAGTTACTTAAAAAACTGAAGTCCAGAGAAATACCGTTTGTGCCAAGATAATATTAGCACTCTTTTGGGTGATATGGAATCCTGTCGAAAAGATAGTTTCTGTGACAGATTAACATTTAATGAGCATAAGAGCTACAGTTAAAGTTACAGAGAATTGGACCCTTCTTGCTTCTTAGATTACTTTGAAATGGTTTTTAGCTGTGATTGACCCTAGCGTTTGCCTACGGTCAATGTAAAATCTCAGTATTTCCATGTTCTGAGTATAATAACCTATGTAGCTATGAGTCCCTACTAGAAAGTCATTTGGATTAGGGTAGTCAGGAGAGAAAACAGTAATGAAGAGTAGTTTTCTGTGTTTGGAAAGTTGGACTTTGAAATGCTCAGTTATGAGGAAGGTTAATTTTTAAATCAGAATTTTAAAACACACTCAAGTAATCCACTGTCTTCTGAATGATTTTTTTTCAGTCACCCAGTCTAGGTACCTTTTTGGAAAATAGCCTGAAAACAGGGTTTCTTTGAATTGTTCATTAATGCATTATTAGGGATGTTACATAGAAATCCTGCACCTAAAAATAGCTATGCATAATCAATATTTAGCCTGATATTTTATAGCTGAGTTTCGACATGGTTTATATGATCTCTTAATTACTCAGAATGGGTTTTTCAGTCAACATTTAAACCTCTCTATTGCTTGGCACAGTGCTTTACACCTAATAGGTGATATATTTTTAAAGTTGAATTATAACTTTTACTCCGTTTTTATTTTTAGAAAAGGTATAGTTTGGCAGTGGGGCCTCCCAAAAAAGACCCAAAAGTTAAAGGTGTCCAATCAGCAGCCGTACAGGCTTTTCTTAGAAGAAAAGAAGAGGAGCTCAGACAAAAAGGTATGTATCTGTAGCCTTATTCTCACTTTTAAAGTCTTCCACTTCCCATCTAGCTTGTACTTAACCAGTGGGTGTTTGTAAAAACATAATAGGCCAATGGATTTGGGGTGTGTATGTGTATGTGTCTGGATTAACTGTTTTTATGGCTTTACATATGTTCTCATGTTGATCATTTGTATAGAAGTTTTCTTTTATTCCCCCTTAAATTAAAAGCTTTTGGGTGATTAGGGACCATGTCTTCTAATTGGCCATAGTAAGTCCCCAATAAGAATTCCATTCTTTAACCTTGGTTCTGAAATTGTTTCTACCTATTTTGTATTTTAATTTTTTTTATTAATAGGTTTAAAATGGGGATAATTTTTTAAACCATTAAATTCAAGAAGTTTTACTTCATCAAATGACAAAGAAAGTGATTCAATAAGTTTAAGTATTCATTGATTTATAATTATTAACAACTGCAAAGTGGGTACTAATATTCCCTTAACTTAAAATATTTATTTGATTTGAACTGTTAAAGTTGAAAACCAAGTCTCCCACTTGCTTAGTCATATAGAAAAACCCCTATGTGACCCACTCGTATGTAAAGATGACTCAATTGGTACTTGTTTGAATGACTTCCTCATTTGATTACTAAATGTCTTCAAACTGTAACTTGAACATTGTTTGTGTTTGCAGATGAGCATACTGCTATCTTGAGACCTTGAAATCATATGTTCTTGTTTTGTCCCTTTTAGCTTTAGAGGAGAAAAAAAGAAAAGAAGAACTAGTGAAAAAGCGAATTGAGCTCAAACATGACAAAAAAGCAAGAGCTATGGCCAAGAGGACAAAGGATAATTTCCATGGTTACAATGGGATTCCTATTGAGGAAAAGTCAAAGAAGAGGCAGGCAATGGAAAGCCTTACCAGCCAGGGAACAGACCAAGAGTATGAGATGGAAGAAGAGGATGACTTCTTAGAATACAATCAAGGAGAGTCAGAGCAGGAGTATGAGAAAGAACAAGAACCTCCCAAAGTTGAAAGCAAACCAAAGGTTCCCTTTAAAAGTGCCCCACCACCCATGAACTTCACTGATTTACTCAGGCTGGCTGAGAAAAAGCAGTTTGAACCAGTTGAGATCAAGGTAGTGAAGAAATCAGAAGAGCGGCCTATGACTGCAGAAGAAATTAGGGAGCGAGAATTCCTTGAACAAAAGCATAGGAAAAAGAAACCTGAGACAGATGCAAAACTACCTCCAACTGTGTCCAAAAAGACACCCTCTCAGAAAGAAAGCATGGGCACAAAACTTAGCAAAGGTTCTGGGGACAGGCATTCTTTTCCCAAGGGAATGCCCCTTCCTCATGCTGAGAAGAAATCCAGATCCAGCACAGCCAATGAGAAACATTTAGCTTTGTCTTCATCCAAAGCCATGCCAGGAGAAAGGACCAAGGCAGGATCTGGCAATAGCTCCCAACCCTCGCTTCGTGAGGGCCATGACAAACCTGTTTTCAATGGGGCTGTAAAGCTGCACTCCAGCACCTATTCACCAAGTGTCCCAAAGACTTCTGCTGGTGGGACTCAGAAATTTAATACTGAGCACAAAGCCAAAAAATCTCCTTCCCATCCCAGCCATTCCATGCCTGGGCCCACAGTCACCCCACACAGTAAGGCTAAGAGTCCAGGTATCAGGCAGCCAGGCAGCAGCTCCAGCTCAGCCCCTGGGCAGCCCAGCCCAGGGACTACTCGGTCCACAGTTAGTTCTGGCCATGTGTCCAAGCACCAGAATAGCGGCTCCAGCTCAGGACCTGAGCGATCGGTCAGTGGGACCAAGAGGCCAGCCAGTGACTCACATCTCTCTGGGCGGACAATCAGTGGTGCAAGTGGCCCTGGACGACCTGCAAGCAGCTCAAGTGGCCCCGGACGACCTGCAAGCAGCTCAAGTGGCCCCGGACGACCTGCAAGCACCTCAAGTGGCCCTGGGCGACCCATCAGTGTCTCAGGTTGTTCTGGGAGACCTGTGGGCAGCTCTGGAGGCATTAGGCGGCCTATGAGCAGTCCACGTGACTTTCAACGACGAGTGAGTGGTTCAGGCCCCCTTGGGCGATCCATAAGTGGATCAGTTCCAGCTGGATGGACTGTCAGTCGTTCAGGCCCTGGAAGACCAGTTAGCAGCTTGGAACCTGGGCAAACAGTTAGTAGCCCAGGTCCCTCCATAAAGCCCAAGTGCACTGTTGTCTCAGAAACAATTTCTTCCAAGAATATCATCAGCCGGTCCAGCAATGGACAGATGAATGGAATGAAGCCTCGCCTATTTGACTACAGATCTGCCCAAGGTAAAATTGCTCCTCACCCTAAAGAGTATATATTTGTCACTATGAAATTGGAAAGAGTATTTTATATGACTGCGGACCCTTCCATGTGTCCTTTAAGGTACTCTAGTGTTGATAGAATCCTGACGTTTTATCCATCCTGTGCCTGAGAGTTTCTTTAATGATCATGACTTGGTAAAGTCTTTAGAAAGAGACTTAGCTAAGGTCCTCTGTGTTTACCTCTGCAATGTCCCCAAGTCTAATAAACTTGTGATTTGTGAGATAAGGTGAATGTACATGCCCTTATACATATGGCTCAATGGATGAATTAATCTCTTTGTTTTCATGAGTACTAAAGAGACCTGTCTTCAAGGATCAGAGTTTAATTTTTTGGTGCATCATTTATTTAGCAAGTGTTTGTTAAGTAGCCATTAGGTGCCAGGAACTGTTTTGGACTCTCCGTGGGTTTCTGCTCCTTATAATGGGTTGTATCAAGGTCCTAACCACTGATCCCTTAGGAATCTGCTGTTGCAGGGTACAGAAGGATCATTTGGTGGCACCTGCTAGGTCTAGTTGCTTCATGCTAATAGGCATTTGCTAAAGTACTTGTTAGGCACCATGGAGAATATAAAAAGAAACCAGCGGTGAAATTCCTTGCTTTAAACTTCCTAATTCAGCTAGATCATTGATTCTCCAAAAAGGGCAATTTTGCCCCCAAGGGGACATTTGGCAATGTCCAGAGACATTTTTGATTATCACAATTGAGGGTAGGAGATGCTACGGCATTTAGTGGGTAGAGGACAAGGATGCTGCTAACAAACAATGCACAGGATAGACCCCCCACAACAAAGAATTATCTGGCCCAAAATGTCATAAGCTGAGGTTGAGAAACTCAGAGCTAGGAAGACAAGCCATACAAAATAAAAACAACGGTAGAAGAATAAAAGGAGGGTCTGTAATTAGAGACTGGAAAGTAGTTGTTCCCAGATATTGGTCTATTGATCAATGCCTGACTTTTGCAAAGTTTTTATCAGTCTTTTGGCAAAACGACAAAAGTAAGGATAATAATGTAGTGAGTTTCTCCTTATAGTCAAACTTAGTTTGAACAATTATCCATAATTCTGAGAATCTTTCATATTTATTTGGACTGAAAATTTTTAAATGGAATTAAGGTGATAGTCGATAGTAGGTGGCTACTTTTGGTGTCTTAGCAGAATTAAAAGTTAATGATTCTATTGAAGTTTGTAAATCTTATTTATTTACTTTTAGAAATTTTACTGATCTTTGAAATCCAGAAATATGGGCACTGCTAAGCTAGAAAATGTAACAAGACATTTCTAGCAAGCCCTAAACACAGTGACGCAGCAGGGATGATGTAGTAGTAACTCCATGCTGAGGGCCAGCCTGCTTGCTCTGGTTTTTAAGGATACCATCTTAATGATTTATTTATTTTTTAATTTTTTTAGAAAGATGACCGGTAAGGGGATCTTAACCCTTGACTTGGTGTTGTCAGCACCACGCTCACCCAGTGAGCTAAGCGGCCATCCCTGTATGGGATCCAAACCTTTGGCCTTGGTGTTATCAGCACCACACTCTCCCGAGTGAGCCATGGGCTGGTCCCTACATCTCTCTTTTAAAAATACAAAAAAGATACAAAAGTAAAAGATAGCAAACCAAATGTAATCTTTCCTGACCCCATATTCTCCTAGTTATAGTTTTCTGCTGCTCTTCTCAATAAAATTTCTCAAATAACTGTCTCATTTATAAGAATGTCAATTTACACAGAACTCTGTTGTGACTGTATTAAATTTTAATGTTCTTACAAATAATGGTTTCTATTCTTAGGTCCTCAAAGAATTCCCTTCCCTACTGGTTACAAAAGGCAGCGAGAATATGAAGAGGAAGATGATGAAGATGATGAATATGACTCTGAAATGGAAGATTTTATTGAAGATGAAGGAGAACCTCAGGAAGAAATATCCAAGCACATTCGAGAAATCTTTGGCTATGACCGAAAAAAGTAAGGCTAAACAACATTTAAATAAACATGATATACTTTTTATCTTGAATTATTCATGTTATGGGGGAGAAATAAACATTAATAGTAGAGGCATTGAATACAGTTCTTAATTAAGAACCCCAGGGTGATTGTTATTTTAAATAGATTCACTCTTTTGACACTAAGTATTTTAGAATTAATTCAGAATAGTTTGTGTAGTTATCTGAATGGGGGTCAAAAATATCCCTTTTAAATTTTTTTTTTTTTTTTTTTTTTTTTTTTGTGGCAGCTGGTTGGTATGAGTATAAAACATGTCCTTGGTATGATACATAATTAGAGTGAAGCAGCTTAGTGTGGTAGAAATAGATTGTCTTTGAAGTCAAAAAGCCATGCACAGAGACTTGTCATAAGCCAGTCTGATCCGACACCTGCTTTTCTTTGGTGTAAAAAGCTGTACAGAAGTATGGGACCAGCAGCATTGACATACCTGAGAGCTTGTTATAAGTGTAGGCTTCTCAGGCCCCACCTCAGACCCAGACCTACCAAATCCAAATCCACTTTATAAGATCCCCAGGTGATTTATATTTACTAAATAAATTAAAGTTTGAGAAGCACTGGTATAGAGGAAAGATCAGGGTTTGAAGTGAAGTTAGCTGGGTAAACTTGAGAATTATTTTTAAAATGACATTTTAGAAGGATTAAATGAGGTATTCTATATATAAAACAAATAAGATCTGTCACATTGCCTATAAATCAACAATTTCTACCTCCTTAGAAGCCTGTGGATATAAGAAATTAGGTCATCCTAAGAAAGGGTCATTTTAAAAATTTGGTAGAGTAGAAGGAAGAACTGGATTAAAAATCAGATCTAAAAATTTAATCTTAGTGCTGTCCCTAACTAGCTATATGTTCTTGGTCAAGTCATTAACCTGTTTCCTCTATTCTAAAGTCCTTCCCCACCTCATGACAGTTATGAAACTCAAATGAGATTAATATATTTAAAATAATTTTTATATATACCATATTGTGCTTTCAGGATTTTAATAAAAATTATCAAATAAGTGTTTGGTGAATGGATTGAGGAAGCATTGTTGGATTGGCATCGTCATCAACATTAGATTCAGGAATAGTTGCCTTCTGAGGATAAGGGCTCGTTTAATTTGTCTTTACTTCAGAAACACACCTCTACCCATTCTCCCCTGCCTTGGTCCCTGCCAAGCTAGGAGGAGTAATCTTAAATGTGTGTTTCATTTAGTTATAAAAGATGATTTTTTAAATGAGAAGATGTAGTTTTTTAGAAATCTGAATTTTTGTTCTTTTTTTACAACTTTGATTTCCTTTTATTAGATACAAGGATGAAAGTGATTATGCCTTACGTTACATGGAGAGTAGTTGGAAAGAGCAGCAGAAGGAAGAAGCAAAGAGGTAAGTACAAAACACATCTGTAAAAAAATGTCTTAAAAATTCTGTTTGGTGCTGTAGTTGCACCATTGGGAACAAGGGCTTTGGGCCACATGGTTCTGTATTCCAATCCTGCTTACTAGCTGTGGGGCCTTACACAAATTCCTTGGCCTTTCTAAATTTGTTTTCGCTTTTGTAAAATGAGAATATACTGTTTCACTTATTTAGGTATTGTGAGGATTAAGACAGTGTGTACAAGGTGCATAGTGCAGTGTCTCACACGTGTAAGCACACAATAAATATTAGAGGCTGCCCCTAATCCTGTTAGAGTATGTTTTTGCTCTTCTTTCCCCATCAGACCATCTCAGTCTTGCTAACCTGTAACACTGCTGGCCTTAGGGAGCCAATGGACGTATGAGGGTACTTCCAATTGTTTGTGGAAAAATAGAATTAAAAGATAATAGGAATCTTTCTGTGAACTTTTTGAAGTACCCTCGTATATTAGATTCCCTCTACCTGACTTTTGTTTGGCTATCAGATAGTAAACTAATGATAATTTCTCAAGTAGGGGTACCAAGTAATTACTTCGTTTATAGTTTTAATTATTATTATTAATAATAACTATTATTATTACCTAGTAATTATAGGTAAATAATTCACTTCAGTCAGCCCAGAATACTAAACCTCTTTCTCCATCTTGCCCTCCCCCCTGTAACTAGATAAAATGTGAAACTCAAGTGTAGGAAGACAAGAATAGCATGTTATTCAATGAATGTTTCTTGTTTTTTATTTTTAAAAGCTTTTGAGATAAATTTATATTTTATTTAATGGGAATATTAAGGTGTTTTTTGTTTGGTGTGAGATCTTTGTTCGACTACAATTTGGATCGAAGGCCCCTGGTAAAAAAAAAAATCCCTGCTAGTCTGTTTTCAGTATTAAAGCCTTGAGGCAATTTGACAGCATCAGCACAATCCGTGTTATCTCCCAGTTCAAATTTCATTCTTGCTTTTTAAAGAAAGAGGTACTCTTATATTGACAAATACCCTTTTAAATTCTTTTTCGACAGCTTAAGACTAGGTATGCAAGAAGATTTAGAGGAAATGAAGCGTGAAGAAGAAGAAATGAAACGTCGGAAGGCCAAGAAGCTGAAGAGGCGTTAGCTGCTGCTTTTATTTATTTTTGTGAAACCCTGAGATACTCTGCTGCAAAGATTTCCTGCCTTTAGACTGAAGAAGCCCCCTTATCATATTAGGTTTATATTTGGATACTCAAGAAGGAATACGTACTGTCATTTGAACATAAAGTATTTTCAGATATTTCCCAGGGTGAAATCTGTAATGCAGACAATGTAATGCCCACTGTGCGCTCTTATGAAGTTAACTGTTCACAGATGCCAGCTTTGATCCTGATGAGCTATGCACTCTAATGTGGGGCTGCTCACCAGTCAGCCAATCTTTTACTGTTCCTTTGCTACTTTAAGAGGAAAAAAAAAAAGATTGCCTTTTGACTTCCGTAATAATTCTGCTGATATGTGAGTAGGGCACTGCCCAGCTCCCAAACTTACTTTTTATGAGAAACCTGGCCCTTCCGTGAATGTTGCCAGCAATAAAGTGACCTGTCCTAATCTGTATGTTTGGATTGAGAACTTGAAAATGTAGAGTAGGCTTTATAATTATCATATGGATACCATCCCTGTGACTTTGAAGTACAAAGTAGAATAAATTATATTGTATTCTGCATTATTCATGGATTGGATGCTGAGCATTCTTATTCATTAATTTAGGTGATTAGGCAATTAACAAAAAATTATCCAATTTAAAATACAAGTCATGCCAGTATAAGAATATTCTTTTGAAGGTTTCCTTTGAAATTTACTGTTATGTTGGGTTTGGTGAATTTAGGTGATTAGGCAATTAACAAAAAATTATCCAATTTAAAATACAAGTCATACCAGTATAAGAATATTCTTTTGAAGGTTTCCTTTGAAATTTACTGTTATGTTGGGTTTGGTGTAAAATAGACAAGGTCACTGTGCTGATTGATTTTTATCTAAAAAAAATTTCATTTTTATATTAAAGAATAATAGTTATTTTATTCAAGCATTAGATTTGAAAGAGTAATTGTTTAGAAAATAAGGATGACATGTGAAGCTCCCCTCCTTCCTATTCCCCTCCCCCCATTATAAAAATATTTTGGAATTCCAAGGTGTCCCTGTACCTTTAGATGTTAAAGACTTTGCATTTTTAGCTTAAATTTCTTAGCAAATATTAATGACAAAAAACCAAAAACTAAATTCATGAGTATCAAAAGCACCACTTCTCTTTTTGCCCATATTGCACTTTTATTTCAAACTATGCACTGTGAAGAGATTTTTTTCCCAGGTAGAAAAGGATGTTCTCTGAAACTGGTTTTACCAGGCTATGGAAATCTTCTTCATTTTCACCCTTCTTTAAGTCATATCTATAGACTTGATATCACTTAAGCCTCAAGTCCAAGCAATTCCAATCAGGCTGACCTAGAATCTGGCTGGAAGGAAGCCAAGACGCAAGGACAGTCAGCAACAGAAAATGAGATATCATGATGCTAGAGAGCATTTGTCCTTGACACTATGTGTGGAGGATTGGGGGCAGTCAGACATAAGCTTGTAGGACAGTTACAGTAAATGTTCTGGCTGTATTAAGCCATTGGACACTGGGGATTAGGAAGTTGGTGAGGTTGTCCTACAAAGAATCCTTTCATTTCAACAGGTCCATATGTTGTTTTTGTATATTCTTTTTTATACAAAAAGTCATCTTTACTCTTCAGTTTTCGGTAATACAGATTACCATTGTTAGCTTCCCTTAGTATAGCATGTGACCCAGTCCTTTAAGATCAACTCATTTTGAACTGAATTTCAAACTTTGAAAGTGCAAGGATTTGATTTTGAATTTGAATACCATTAAGAGTGTCTTCATCACTAGGAATAACACCCTTTCTAATTCTCCACATAGAACAGTTATACTCCTAGCAGAAAATTCTATTGACCTCCTCTTGCTCATCTCAAATACCTTCAATGAAATTTATGTAAGGGTAGTGTGATGTTCCATGTAATATAAGTATAAAACATTATTTTCTTTGCCATCACTTATGTGTTTTTTTCCCTTCAAAAGTTTTTTCTTAGATATATTTTTTTCAATATGCAGACTCTGAAATCAAGTGCTTGTCATTGCTGAAAGATTTCTGCTGGCTTAAAGTTTACTAGCACTTAATGATATGGTGCAGTTATGTATACAGAAAGCACGATTGTGCTAGATTAAAGTTCCAGAACTTGGTAGGAAGAGTCAGGTTGTAACCTTGTGTCTATCACTTTTGAGCGCATTTCTTCTACTATATAGATGTTGACTTAAGGGCACTTCTGTGGCTCATTTAAAAAAAAAAAAAGTCTTTTAAATTAATCTTGGGCTTGTTTCCAAATCCTGTCTTCCATTATGTTTTGCACTTCCTGACCACTCTTACAAAAAACTCACAAGCCTTTGAAGAAACTGGAATAGGCTGTTACTTTATCAAGGTTTACAAATTAAGTGCTTGATTTTCAATATATATTCTACTGTTTTGATTTCAGATGTTCTTAACTCAATATTTGAAGATGTGCCTTTTATTGAGTAATGTTAATTCACGAATGTAGTAATGTTATTTCACGATTGTAATAATGTTACATGATCATGGGTGTGGCATTCTCTAATACAAATGTAAAAAGAAAGTAGTTTTCATAAAACTTATATGGCTCTGATTGCACAGTCCCACTTGCTTTTGATATTGCTATGTCAAAGCAAAGGGCACTTTCTTTTAAGGCTACTTTCAGAACTTGTCTTTGTATTTTCTCTAAACTATAAATGCAATTATGTCCATTTGGAGGCCAGGGTACCACATGTCACAGACAGCCTTACATGTGTGCCATGAGAAGGTTCAAAGACTTAAAAGAAAGTCTGTGGGAACTCGAAATTTCATTTTTTCATGTAATCCCCCAAGATTTTCTCCGAGAAATAAATTGTTTTTGTATTTTGTAACTTAAAAGCAGCTATTAGTATATTTCTGAGATATAGCAGGAGGCCAAAACATGTTTGGAAAGAGAATAAATATATGAAGAGATACTGGTGGTTTTATTTTTAGTGTGCTGAATATATTAGACTACTATTTATTTTGTGAGTGAATGTGATGAAATATCCAGGCGTTTAGTGTATGATTAAGAGTGGGACATAGACTTCTTTGGAATTATTAAAACATGTTTTTTACATATGGACAAATCAAGTTTTAAAAAAAAAACTTTTACATAGCTTAGCTTGTTTTCTGGTGCTGTTGACCTGCAAGAGAATATACTTTTGCACATACAGGTGAAAGTTTTGCAATTTATGTGTACAAGAAATTATAGGCATTAAAATTTTTTATTGATATTTTTACTGGTTTGCATTTATTGATCAAAACTTTGAGATATTCCTTATCTCATCAAACCCTGAACATTTTTCCAGCTAGAAGCCTCAGTAGACTCATCAAGCTATAGAGATAGGGTTTTTCTCCTGCAGACACTCCTCATCCTCCCTTACACATTCATGTCTGCTCAGCACTTACCACTGATCTCTCTCCTCCTCCCCTACCAGCAGAACCAACTGTTCTGCTCTCAGATACCCATGTTAGGATAGCAGGTGGTCAGAGCAATAGAATATAGCTTCACGGCTCAAGTTCTAGAGTGAAACTGGAGGGAAGCTGGGTATATAGCATTCCTCTTGTCAAAATAAGCACATTCCAGTCCTCTATGATTAAAAAAACTTAAGATGGCTGAGAAGAGGTGTCCTTTAGAATAAACAAGGGTACTTCAAAAAGTTCGTGGAAAAATGGAATTAAAATATAACACACATCTTTCCATAAACTTTGAAGACCCCTCATACACAAGGCAAGTGGGCAAAGCCATGCAACCAGAGAATTTAGGTATTTAATTCACTGGAATGTGTAGACTAGGTCATGGAAGAAATAGATGCTAATATCCTAGATTCAGAAATTACTAACAAAGTTTTGCTATGGATTTTGAATTCATTTTTCTTTCCATAAAAATGGTAATCTGAGGCTGGCCCGTGGCTCACTTGGGAGAGTTGGTGCTGATAACACCAAGGCCATGGGTTTGGATCCCATATAGGGATAGCCAGTTAGCTCACTGGGTGAGCGTGGTGCTGACAACACCAAGTCAAGGGTTAAGATCCCCTTACCGGTCATCTTTTAAAGAAAAGTAAAGGGGGGGGGTCATCTATTCATTGCAAAGAGCCACTTAGAAATAGTTTAGCAAACATACTAAATAATCAACAAAATATTTTCTGTGTAAGCAAAAGCTCTACTTTGCTGGATAGCAGGCACATCTCTTTGAATAATGGAACTATATCAGTCATCCCCAAGTAGCAAAAGTACTTGTCCCTGTTAGGTTTCTCTCTTTTGCTCTCCTCTCTGAACCTTTAGAGGGCTTTTAGGAAGATCCTAAGGCTCAGACACCTAGATAAATTGCATAGGTCTTATACTTAGGTTCCCATCTTTGCTTCATAAACCGCATCATGTAGGAGGTCTGAGCAGTTAGCTTTTGTTTCTACATACGCTGCTTTTATTAGCAGTAGTGACTGCTAAAAGAATCATCAGGCAACTACTTGGCTTTTCAGGTAAGGGAGACATTTAGGCAGCAAGATCTTGAATATCCCATAGTCTCTTGTTTGGATCTTTTACTTGGCACATAAAGGAGAAGGCCTAAATCTTAATCTTGACTTCTGCAACCCAGAGCTATCTGTGTTTGTTGGCAAGATACATAAGCCCCTCAACTTCATTTTTGCCATTTTGTAAAATGAGGCTAATACCCAGTTTCAGAAGGTTATTGTAAGGATTAAAATAATGTGTACTTTAGCATCTAACCCCAATATTAAAACGAGGTCCTTTCCTTATACGGTATAAGCTTTGGATTCTTAGTAAGAGAACCGCGAAGAACAGGCTTAAAGTTGTGGCAATCCCTAGCCCTTTCTGTAACATTTTTTCACTTCTGGACCCTGGATCCAGGAGAAAGGTATTACTTGGAAAATAAGTCTAAAGAGCTCTAAAGAATTTCTATCCTTAAGTACACAAAATAAGGGACAAATTGAACTAGGTATCTTAGTCTTAATGCTAGTCTTAA